ACTGGACCATGTACATTGTATTCCCTTAAACCACAGGTCACTGAACCATGTACATGTATGTCCCCAAACCACAGTTCACTGGACCATGTACATGTATGTCCCCAAACCACAGGTCACTGGACCATGTACATTGTATGTCCCCAAACCACAAGTCACTGGACCATGTACATTGTATGTCCCCAAACCATAAGTCACTGGACCATGTACAATGTATATCCCCAAACCACAGGTCACTGGACCATGTACAATGTATATCCCCAAACCACAGGTCACTGGACCATGTACAATGTATATCCCCAAACCACAGGTCACTGGACCATGTACATTGTAATGTCACCAAACCACAGGTCAATGGACCATGTATATTGCATACCTTTAAACCACATGTCACAATGGACCATGTATATTGTATTGTCTTTGTCTTACAGGTCATGATCAGTGGACCATGTACATTGTAATGTCACCAAACCATGGGTCAATGGACGATGTACATTGTATATCCCCAAACTATGTGTCCCCTATACACCATCTCTCTGAAGGTGTTGTGTAATGCATGAACATATGTATTACATCTGTACTCTATAACCCAGGGATAATGATATTCTGGTATTTAAATTCTAATCAATCCAAGATCTGGCCAGAAGTGTATAGTTGAAATATTTCAAACTTTAGCCTGGGATTGCCAGATGTGTTGTTTGAACAGTGATGAAGTGGGCTGTACCGTCTCGTAATATACCTTGGTATAGACATAGATAGGGGCCCAGCTCAGCAATGTCTAAAACATTTTTTCACAGTATTCATAGTTACAAACTCTACTGGCATTTAGTAGAAAACGTAATTTATTTCAAACGCTGTTTTGATGGGATGATTGTTTAAATAATCTTTACCACCAAACTCTACCCCAACCACAAATAACAGCATACTCTCTCACCACCAAACTGTACCCCAACCACAAATAACAGCATACTCTCTCACCACCAAACTCTACCCCAACCACAAATAACAGCATACTCTCTCACCACCAAACTATACCCCAACCACAAATAACAGCATACTCTCTCACCACCAAACTATACCCCAACCACAAATAACAGCATACTCTCTCACCACCAAACTATACCCCAACCACAAATAACAGCATACTCTCTCACAAATAACAGCATACTCTCTCACCACCAAACTATACCCCAACCACAAATAACAGCATACTCTCTCACCACCAAACTATACCCCAACCACAAATAACAGCATACTCTCTCACCACCAAACTATACCCCAACCACAAATAACAGCATACTCTCTCACCACCAAACTATACCCCAACCACAAATAACAGCATACTCTCTCACCACCAAACTATACCCCAACCACAAATAACAGCATACTCTCTCACCACCAAACTATACCCCAACCACAAATAACAGCATACTCTCTCACCACCAAACTATACCCCAACCACAAATAACAGCATACTCTCTCACCACCAAACTATACCCCAACCACAAATAACAGCATACTCTCTCACCACCAAACTATACCCCAACCACAAATAACAGCATACTCTCTCACCACCAAACTCTCTCATACCCCAACCACAAATAACAGCATACTCTCTTCACCACCAAACTATACCCCAACCACAAATAACAGCATACTCTCTCACCACCAAACTATACCCCAACCTCAAATAACAGCATACTCTCTCACCACCAAACTATACCCCAACCACAAATAACAGCATACTCTCTCACCACCCAACTATACCCCAACCACAAATAACAGCATACTCTCTCACCACCAAACTATACCCCAACCACAAATAACAGCATACTCTCTCACCACCAAACTATACCCCAACCACAAATAACAGCATACTCTCTCACCACCAAACTATACCCCAACCACAAATAACAGCATACTCTTTCACCACCAAACTATACCCCAACCACAAATAACAGCATACTCTCTCACCACCAAACTATACCCCAACCACAAATAACAGCATACTCTCTCACCACCAAACTCTACATCTAAAACAGAAATGATATAAAATACACTGCCTATAAAACATAAGTCCTATAAAATACACTGCCTATAAACATAAGTCCTATAAAATACACTGCCTATAAAATCCTATAAAATACACTGCCTATAAACATAAGTCCTATAAAATACACTGCCTATAAACATGAGTCCTATAAAATACACTGCCTATAAACATAAGTCCTATAAAATACACTGCCTATAAAACATAAGTCCTATAAAATACACTGTCTATAAACATAAGTCCTATAAAATACACTGCCTATAAACATAAGTCCTATAAAATACACTGCCTATAAACATAAGTCCTATAAAATACACTGCCTATAAACATAAGTCCTATAAAATACACTGCCTATAAACATAAGTCCTATAAAATACACTGCCTATAAAATATAAAATACCTATAAAATACACTGTCTATAAACATAAATAAAATACACTGCCTATAAAATCCTATAAAATACACTGCCTATAAACATAAGTCCTATAAAATACACTGCCTATAAACATAAGTCATAAGTCCTATAAAATACACTGTCTATAAACATAAGTCCTATAAAATACACTGCCTATAAACATGAGTCCTATAAAATACACTGTCTATAAACATAAGTCCTATAAAATACATTGCCTATAAAATCCTATAAAATACACTGCCTATAAATATAAATCCTATAAAATACACTGCCTATAAAACATAAGTTCTATAAAATACACTGCCTATAAACATAAGTCCTATAAAATACAATTGTAAACTGTCATTGTAATAGTGAACTTCTGTGAAATTAAGTACACTGCCTTCAAAACACAAGTCCTATGAACTTCCCTGCCTATGAAATATACACTTCCAAATGCATGTAAAGTTACCAGATTGTAAACTGTTCTAGCAATAACAGAAGAAGCAGAAAGCCTATGTCATACTGACTTTTATAATCAATGTACATATACAAAAACCATCCAAGCATTTGGATAGTTGATATTTCTGCTTAGCTTTGACAGGATTTTATTTTTGAATGTCTAAAAAGCTGGCCTAAAAATTGGAAGTTGCAAAAACAACAACAAAGTTAAAATTGAATGATTTTGTTAGAAGTAAACTTCCATGCTGTACATAACTTCACAAATCAATATCGTGATGTTTTTATAGAATTTAAGAGCTGTGTTTAACTTGCTAAGTCAACAACCTTGAAGGCCACTTGTTATGTTTGCAGACTGACTGATACAAAAGTTTGCTGTGAGGCTAGAAATAAATTCCATTAGTCAAAATCTGGATTGTCATCAATTCATTTATATGAAAAGGAAAGAGTATATATAAATATATAAAAGAAATGCAATAGTTGTGACCTGGTTCACTGTGTTTTCTGAAAGCATTCTAAAGACAGTTCATTTGATATCATTGATATTTGTCATAAACCTTTTATGCGCCACTCGCATTAGGCGATATTGGAAGGAAGGACAGGCTTTGGAAGTTAAAATGCTCGTTTATATAAGTGCTGTGAAGTGTTATTGGCTTACAGTGTATGGACTGCTATTTGTCTGTTTGTTGAAGCCTAATTGGTATTTATTGTAATGACTGGTCAAGTCTAAGTTATCCAACATGGTGACCTTGAAGTGTCTTATTCACTGTGTACTTGTATATTGAAAATTACCTGCAACAGCTGACTTGTTTAAACAGAAGTTTTTAATTGAAATTTTACATCGCACTGGCCTCTTCAGAACACTGTTATCTACAACTTCACTAAGGCTGTTGGTGACCTCTCTAGATAAATGTTGCCCACTTCAAACTTACGGAGTTTGTCACTGATCACTTGAGACTAATGGTGCCCTCCACAACCTTACTTAGGTTGTCACTGACCTCTCAAGACAAATGTTGCCCTCCATAACCTTACTGAGGTTGTTACTGACCTCTCAAGACAAATGTTGCCCTCCATAACCTTACTGAGGTTGTCACTGACCACTCCAGACTAATGGTGCCCCCACAATCTTACTGAGGTTGTCACTGACCACTCCAGACTAATGGTACCCCCACAATCTTACTGAGGTTGTCACTGACCACTCCAGACTAATGGTGCCCCCACAATCTTACTGGGGTTGTCACTGACCACTCCAGACTAATGGTGCCCCCACAACCTTACTGAGGTCGTCACTGACCACTCCAGACTAATGGTGCCCCCACAACCTTATTGAGGTTGTCACTGACCACTCCAGACTAATGGTGCCCCCACAATCTTACTGAGGTTGTCACTGATCTGGTATCCTACTGACTGCTCCCAACAGAAGCTGTTCTCTGAAAAGTGATATCTGGCTGTCATTCCAAACAAGAATTGTCATTCAAAACATGGTGTCTCATTCAACAAGCATTGTTCATGACACAACCACTCTGGACAAAATTTCCTCAAGTTACAGTAATCCAATAGTGGGTATTGAGATTGATGATGATAATGATTGAGAAATAAAGCTTGTGGATATTAGGCAAACTAACCAACATATTTTGGAACAGTTCATAGCAAGAAATGGACAGTTAGTAGAAAATATTCTCAGTAAATCAGGAGTTATGAGGAATGGAAATTTAAACATCCATTTTGTATATCAGGTGTCCTTCAGAGTTGAACTTGAGGTTCATTAGCATCGCAAATATTATACATCAAAGACTTTAACTTTTTATCATCATTCAGATTATTGAACAGCTGTTGTGATGTCGCATCAAAACCTTTCTTGTTCTCGGAATTTGCATACCTTATGATTTATCGTCATCTTTCCTGGTATTGACCTGTTCCTGGAATAAGAGCGAGAGAGCTATGCTATATCTCTACTTTATTTAGTTCACAATTTGAAGTGTTGTACAAGTAGTTTTAAAACCAGTTTCTGTGAAACTAAAGTTACAATGATAACACTCTGCTGTGGGATTCAGCAGATGTTAGATGTATTATTGTACTTACAACTTTTGTCTGTTTCAGATGCTATGTACCACCATGACACATCCAGTTATGGGAGCGTGTCCCCAGTCAACCACCCGCCCAGTCCTCTGATGCATGTGCTAGACTCCAATGCCACACATGAAATCAGCGAACACAACCTAGACAGCATCAGTTGTACCTCAGACTTTGAGAGACACAGCTTAGACTTTGATAGACACAGCTCCGAAGAGGAGCTTGAAAACATACACAGGGAAGTGGTCGCTGAGAAACGAAAATGGTCGCAAGTGAATAATCGAAACTGTGAAAGTGCAAGTTCTTCTGATGAGGAAGTGAAAGAACTAATGTTGGAACCCCAACCAGTGTTATTTAGGTGTTCACCTCCGCAGGGAGTTCATAAACTCAATAACAACAATATCAGTAACAATAACAACAACTACACTTGTACTAACATTACGGTCATCAGCTCCAGTTATGGTGGACCGACAAATCTTAGGAGCAAAAATAGTCTAAATAATAATGTCAAGTCCCCACCATCCCAATTACACATAAATAAGGTGACTCCAATCTCTGTTATGAGTGTGTCGCCTAGGAAACGACATCGACAGACAACTACCTCTGATTCTCCTCCATTTACTGCAGACCTGGCACAGTCTGCCACAGTCATACGCAGACCTTGTCTCGATTTTGAAAAAATGCAGGTAAGAATATTTAAGCGATTTAAAACTCTTGTCAATTAGATATTACCTGCACGTATGATAGACGATATTGTCCCCTCTTTGTGTTTTCACTAGTTAAATATTTTTGCAGAATAGTTGTTTCTGGAAATTCTCAGGAGGCAAACATTTGCAGAATTTTCATCTTTATTTAATATTTCATATTCATGTACATTACATATTTTTTGTTGTATATATTTTCTCATTGCAAGAAAACATTTAACTGTGAAAATAAAAGAGTTTTACAATACATTGTTGCTTTTGAATTATGTGATTTTTTTTGCTTTATCGTTGTTTTTGCATGTGATCAACTTTTATGAATCCGTGTGAGGGTGAGGTGGATATGGTATTATAAATAGAAAGATTTTTTAATTGACTGCTGAAGTTGTTATACAACATTACAACAAGAAAAGAAAAAAAAGGAATATAGAAATTTCAAAAACAGGTTACAGGTAATATATAGTACACAATCCTTGGTACATGAGAGTGTGAGGCTTTCTGCATGCTCCTCCGTGTTACTTAGTACTATTCCACTAGCAACTGTCTAGATCCCTCTGGTAGCTTTGGTGTTATTATTGTCGCTGGAGAGCAGGGCAGGGTTGTTCAAAAGCCTTACTGAAATACATACAACCAAAATAAAGAAGTTTTCATTTCGTTCATTTGTTTATTTGAGAAGTTCTAGTGTTCAAAACCACATCACTATAATAAGGTGTATTATATTTGTTTACTGACGGAGATTCATACAAATCCACATATCCTCTCACACTCGGGGTTTAACTTTTTATTGTAAGGAAGTAGGCTTTGAATAACTCTGCCCTGGCATTTTAAACAGGTCATCAAAAAATCTACTAAATATCCTGTCACAAGGTCATGTACTTTTTATTCGTTTTCTTAGTCACGATCAATTTTATTAATGTAGAAAGACTCTTAGAATTAAATATGAAGATGAATGAAGGATTAATAAAGAGATGTAGAGATATATTAGATTGATCTCTGTATGACTCATCAGAACCGACAACAAGTGACTGTAAACCCACACTATAACAAGGCTATTAAATCTTTGTTTTTATGTTTCCTGGGCTGTTATCTGGTCCAAGTTCTTACATATACCAATCCAAATATCCTGAAGAAATCCCTTGTAAAGATTACCATAAATTGACCATTTTCTGGTCCATTGTATCCAATCTCCAGAGAAATGTTCACAGATCCAGTGCAGGAGGTTTAGGAGCTTTGAATTTATTTACAATATCATCGCTTTGAGAAACTTGATAGAGAAGGAATTCCAGGAAGATTAAAGACATCAGTAATCAGACATTCAGAAAGGGAGGATGAATGGAGACATTATAGACAATGTGAACTGTCCTTGAACTTTTGGGATTGATTTGTCTCATGTTTGTCTTGGATGGAAGTTATCTCCACTTGACTGAAGATGTTATCTACACTTCACTAAGAATAAAGAGAGCAGGGTTGTAGAGTTATCTCTACTGGACAGAGTTAGGTTGTCTGTCTCCCAGTTGAGATGTCTCAGTCTACTGGACAGAGATTGGGGTTGTGTGTCTCCTTGTAGAGATGTCTCAGTCTGCTGGACAGAGTGAGGTTGTCTGTGTCCTTGTAGAGATGTCTCAGTCTGCTGGACAGAGTGAGGTTGTCTGTGTCCTTGTAGAGATGTCTCAGTCTGCTGGACAGAGAGTGGGGTTGTCTGTCTACTTGTAGAGATGTCTCAGTCTGCTGGACAGAGAGTGGGGTTGTGTGTCTCTTTGTAGAGATGTCTCTACTGGACAGAGTTAGTTTGTCTGTCTCCTTGTGGAGATGTCTCTACTGGACAGAGAGTGGGGTTGTGTGTCTCTTTGTAGAGATGTCTCTACTGGACAGAGTTAGTTTGTCTGTCTCCTTGTGGAGATGTCTCGACTGGACAGAGAGTGGGGTTGTGCGTCTCCTTGTAGAGATATCTCAGTCTGCTTGACAGAGATTAAGGTTGCGTGTCTCCTTGTAGAGATGTCTCTACTGGACAGAGAGTGGGGTTGTCTGTCTCCTTGTAGAGATGTCTCAGTCTGCTGGACAGAGATTGGGGTTGTGTGTCTCCTTGTAGAGATGTCTCAGTCTGCTGGACAGAGTGAGGTTGTCTGTGTCCTTGTAGAGATGTCTCAGTCTACTGGACAGAGTGAGGTTGTTTGTGTCCTTGTAGAGATGTCTCAGTCTGCTGGACAGATAGTGGGGTTGTCTGTCTACTTGTAGAGATGTCTCAGTCTGCTGGACAGAGAGTGGGGTTGTCTGTCTCCTTGTAGAGATGTCTCAGTCTGCTTGACAGAGATTGGGGTTGTGTGTCTCCTTGTAGAGATGTCTCTACTGGACAGAGAATGGGGTTGTCTGTCTCCTTGTAGAGATGTCTCAGTCTGCTGGACAGAGATTGGGGTTGTGTGTCTCCTTGTAGAGATGTCTCAGTCTGCTGGACAGAGTGAGGTTGTCTGTGTCCTTGTAGAGATGTCTCAGTCTACTGGACAGAGTGAGGTTGTTTGTGTCCTTGTAGAGATGTCTCAGTCTGCTGGACAGATAGTGGGGTTGTCTGTCTACTTGTAGAGATGTCTCAGTCTGCTGGACAGAGAGTGGGGTTGTCTGTCTCCTTGTAGAGATGTCTCAGTCTGCTTGACAGAGATTGGGGTTGTGTGTCTCCTTGTAGAGATGTCTCTACTGGACAGAGAGTGGGGTTGTCTGTCTCCTTGTAGAGATGTCTCAGTCTGCTGGACAGAGATTGGGGTTGTGTGTCTCCTTGTAGAGATGTCTCAGTCTGCTGGACAGAGTGAGGTTGTCTGTGTCCTTGTAGAGATGTCTCAGTCTACTGGACAGAGTGAGGTTGTTTGTGTCCTTGTAGAGATGTCTCAGTCTGCTGGACAGAGAGTGGGGTTGTCTGTCTACTTGTAGAGATGTCTCAGTCTGCTGGACAGAGAGTGGGGTTGTCTGTCTCCTTGTAGAGATGTCTCAGTCTGCTTGACAGAGATTGGGGTTGTGTCTCCCTGTAGAGATGTCTCAGTCTGCTGGACAGAGATTGGGGTTGTTTGTCTCCTTGTAGAAATGTCTCCGTCTGCTGGACAGAGAGTGGGGTTGTGTCTCCTTGAAGAGATGTCTCTACTGGACAGAGTGGGATTGTCTGTCTCCTTGTAGAGATGTCTCAGTCTGCTGGACAGAGATTGGGTTGTGTCTCCTTCTAGAGATGTCTCTACTGGACAGAGTTAGGTTGTGTCTCCTTGTAGAGATGTCTCAGTCTGCTGGACAGAGATTGGGGTTGTGTCTCCTTGTAGAGATGTCTCAGTCTGCTGGACAGAGATTGGGGTTGTGTGTCTCTTTGTAGAGCTATCTCTACTGGACAGAGTGAGGTTGTCTGTGTCCTTGTAGAGATGTCTCAGTCTGCTGGACAGAGTGAGGTTGTCTGTCTTCTTGTAGAGATGTCTCAGTCTGCTGGACAGAGTGAGGTTGTCTGTCTCCTTGTAGAGATGTCTCAGTCTGCTGGACAGAGTGAGATTGTCTGTCTCCTTGTAGAGATGTCTCAGTCTGCTGGACAGAGTGAGGTTGTCTGTCTCCTTGTAAAGATGTCTCAGTCTACTGGACAGAGAGTGGGGTTGTGTCTCCTTGTAGAGATATCTCAGTCTGCTGGACAGAGAGTGGGGTTGTGTGTCTCCTTGTAGAGATGTCTCAGTCTGCTTGACAGAGAGTGGGATTGTCTGTCTCTTTGCAGAGCTATCTCTACTGGGCAGAGATTAGGGTTGTGTGTCTCCTTGTAGAGATGTCTCTACTGGACAGAGAGTGGGGTTGTGTGTCTCCTTGTAGAGATGTCTCTACTGGACAGAGAGTGGGGTTGTGTGTCTCCTTGTAGAGATGTCTCTACTGGACAGAGATTGGGGTTGTGTGTCTCCTTATAGAGATGTCTCTACTGGACAGAGAGTGGGGTTGTCTGTCTCTTTGCAGAGATGTCTATGCTGGATAGAGATTGGGGTTGTCTTCTTATGGAGTTATATAATGGAAAGACAATTGGGTTGTCTCCTTGTAAAGTTTTCTCTACTGAACAGAGATTGGGGTTGACTCCTAGTAGAATTATATCTAGTGGACAGAGATTGGGGTTATCTCCCTGAAGAATTATATCTAGTGGACAGAGATTGGGGTTATCTCCCGAAAGAATTATATCTAGTGGACAGAGATTGGGGTTATCTCCCTTAAGAATTATATCTAGTGGACAGAGATTGGGGTTATGTCCCTTAAGAATTATATCTAGTGGACAGAGATTGGGGTTATCTCCCTAAAGAATTATATCTAGTGGACAGAGATTGGGGTTATGTCCCTTAAGAATTATATCTAGTGGACAGAGATTGGGGTTATGTCCCTTAAGAATTATATCTAGTGGACAGAGATTGGGGTTATGTCCCTTAAGAATTATATCTAGTGGACAGAGATTGGGGTTATGTCCCTTAAGAATTATATCTAGTGGACAGAGATTGGGGTTATGTCCCTTAAGAATTATATCTAGTGGACAGAGATTGGGGTTATGTCCCTAAAGAATTATATCTAGTGGACAGAGATTGAGGTCATCTCCTTAAAACATTATATCTACTGGACAGAGATTGAGGTTATCTGATGGTAAAATCTTTTCTAATGGACACTGAAATGTCTTTGCTCTGGGGTTACGACTCCCCCATAACCCAGATGGTTAAATATTCTATTGGGCAACAATGTGAAGTTATCAGTCTCTTGATGCAGGTTTAGGGGACACTGATTGTCTCCTCTTTGCCAGCTCAGATTTACTTCTTGATCAAGTAAGAGAAGTTGTCTCCCCCTTGCTAAGTGGTGTGGTTGTCTGCTTTTTCATGGGAATAGGACAGTGAAAGCCTAGAACCAGAGTTTTGACTTCCTCCAGACAAAATGAGATACTGACAAGTTGTCATGGTATTCTCAGACAAACTGCTGTTCATTTAGACTGGAGCTATCACACTGTCACA